GACTACGTGGAAGGTGGGGAAGAAAAATTATACCATTCGCAAATGCTCACCCAGTGTGCATAATGTCTACACACCAAAATGACTATTAATGAAGGAAACAAACAGAAAAATAATTATTTCCAAGTCAGTCCTGAAACACTACTTCTGTTCCTAATATTCAACGTCCCAAAGTACAAGGTACAAGAGTTCTAGTCATTACAGGCTGGGAGCTAAGGAAAGCTATTTATAGAACCCGCCTGTGTACCAATCTCCCCATGTCCAGGATTCAATGGCCGGCCTCCTCAATTTTGCCTAATCTCAAATCTCATATTCCCCAAAAATACATCCCGCTTTAGACAGTATGTTATGCCCACTAATATGTTTCTAGCTCCCTCTTTGTTCCACTTTCACCCATCCCTACTACACAATTCTGAAATACAGCTCTATTATTATTGTTTTGAGTTCAGTTGTCATATACAGATTTTGTTGTGGTATAATCCTGACAACATCCACCAGGAACTTTTTCCATTTCCCTGTTGTATTTTTTATAGCACTGAACATTATCTGATTGACTTGTTTGTTTTATGGTTATCTGTCTCCTCCAACTACGTGGGAACTACATCTCATTCATTACTCCACCCCCAGTGCCTGTAACAGTGTCTGGATCACAATAAAGATGCAATGATTATTTATTAAATCAATAAATTAATGAACAAATGAATGCATGCACTTTTGGCCAGAAGCAAGGAGAGGTGATGGGAGACATAAGATATTTAGGTTTGATAGTTCACTGGCCAAAACAAAACATATGGACATGGGAACGAACGAACGCACACACACACACACACACACACTGTCTGTCTCTCTCTCTCTCTCACAGAGATACACACAGTAACAGTTCTTTCTGCCTCTCTTTGGTTTCTTTCTCTCTCCAGATTATATGACCCCTTGTCCTATAGCTGAGCATTTAAAAGCAATGAGCTGGAGGCATCACACACGGGAAATGAGGAGTACCTGTTCTGGATATACAGCACCTAAATTCAACCCCACGTCCACAACAGACTAGACTTGTAACCATGGGCAGGATACTCAAACTAACAAAATAAGGGTAAGTAACAGTAGCTTCAGAAAGACTGAGATAATGTATGTCAGGCACTGAGTACAGAGCCTGGCGAAGCACCATAACCACCTGATAAAATTCTCCCTATTACTATCCCTTTTGCCATCACTATGGGCAGTTCCATACTCTGAAAGACCGGAAGGCAGACAAGATCCCACTGCAACCTTCCATAACCTCTGTGTGACGTGTGACATTCAGCCTCTGAGGGGAGTAACCCCAAGGACCTTGGTCCAAGGTCAAACCATCCTTGCCTATGAAGCAGCTTCCTCCCTTCTCCATTGGCCTCTACCCCTGTGTTGATCACCCCACAGTACTAGAAAACCCAATTCCATTAACTAGCCCCAGATGATCTCAACCTAGAATGTAGTCCTGGTTATTAGCCTAACAACTGTGCCCCCTAAACACATTTGATTATTCACTACTTGGATTTTAAGGAAATAACTTCCAACTGATGATGATCATTAATATCCAGCACCAAAAATGTCATCTTACCAACTAATTAGGAGAGACCTCAAAATGTCCCAATAATTCTGAGGCCCAAATCAATGATTCTAATGCCACAGCAACTCTCCTCAACTGGTATCTTTTACACCCTGACAACTGTCAAAATGATTTTAAAGTCTGAGAGAATAACTATTAAAACACCATCATTCTTTCCCAGCTTGATTTTTCTAGCACCTATTTCATAGAGTGGGTAAAGAGCATGAGCGTTGTGGACAGAAATGCTAGATTCTGGGTCTGGCACTTACCAGATGTGTGATCTTAGAGAAGACAATAAAATTGCCTTCAGCCTCAGTATCCTTGGAGATAATAATAGAAACTCATAAATATTAAATCAAGAAACACATGTTCACATGGTGATTAGCAAATAGAAAATAACCCACAAATATATTATTATTTAAAACAAATCTCTTACTAATTTCCTAAAGTATTATCCTTAAATCCTTATTTCCTACTAAATTCTAAGCTTTATGAAGCACAAAGACTCCTTTCTCTCAAGTCCTCCTGGAAGAAATCTATTCTCATACAAATTTTAATTCATAAAGGAGGCTTATGACCCTGTTATAATAACTCCTATTTCTCCTCCTGATTTCCAACCGCATTCTTTCCTTTCAAGGTTCTTTCAAACACCATTTTATGGTGATATTAGAAGTATATATTTTCATCCCCCAAATGAGCCAAAACAATACCTCTTTAGAATCCACCTTCAGAGGGATATCATGAAAGGGGGAAATGTAGTGACCAGCTACATTCTCTGGAAAGAACAACAACAAAAAAACATTTAAGCAACAGATACACGGTTATTTATGGTAATAATATTCATATCCCCTTTCAAACATACCCACTTTTTTCAAAGCTAACTTTTAACTCCCAATTTAAAGTTTTATTTAACTTTCAAACCTTGCCCCCATCTGAGGGTCAAAGAGAAATATATACCAACTCACCCAAATTTGGGTTGCTCAAATTATTTACTTATTCCTGTGACTTAAAGCATCCAAAGCAGAAAATGTCTAAAATTAGATTAAAACACAAAACATGAAAACTCTCACTTTTGAAGAAACGATTCAGTGAATTGGATTAAAATTGATGCACTCATTGCAGAGGTGAATAGGAGGTGAAGTGACACAAGCCCACATGGCAAGTCACTAACAGGGCCAGGCTGGCACCAACGAGGGGCCTGAGGGTCACCACAAGGATGCTCTTCCCCAACCATCCTGTCTCACTTTAGTGCTGTTTCTACAAAGCTTGACACTAACAACAACAAAAGTATTAGCTCAATCATTTATTTTGATTCTTCTTCTTAGCAATAAAGGGAAACCGTTTACCGAGGTGAGGCTCCAAGCTGTTCTCCCTCCCAGTGCGCTACTGCAGCAGAGACTGGGGATGCATTTGCAAACCGGAAAAAGTTTTCAGCCAAGCGGTGCTTTGCTCATGTTTTTCTTTGAAGTGAGACAAAAATCACACCGCAGTCCGGCATATAGACACGATCTGGGTTTTAAAAAATATCCCATTTAGGCCGGGCGCGGTGGCTCACGCTTGTAATCCTAGCACTCTGGGAGGCCGAGGCGGGCGGATTGCTCAAGGTCAGGAGTTCAAAACCAGCCTGTGCGAGACCCCGTCTCTACCATAAAAATAGAAAGAAATTAATTGGCCAACTAATATATATATATATATATAAATCAGCCGGGCATGGTGGCTTGTGCCTGTAGTCCCAGCTACTCGGGAGGCTGAGGCAGGATTGCTTGAGCCCAGGAGTTTGAGGTTGCTGTGAGCTAGGCTGACGCCATGGCACTCACTCTAGCCTAGGCAAGAAAGCGAGACTCTGTCTCAAAAAAAAAAAAAGAAAAAGAAAAAAAATATCCCATTTGCAACCCTCTTTACGGAAGCAACTCATCGCTTCCCCTTACCTGGCTCAGCCGAAAGGAGCTTCCTGGCAATCGGTCCCCACTGGCCCAGCAAGTGCTGTTAGCAAAGGGCTATCAAGGCCAGCGCCGCCACCTGGTGGCCGGTGCGGAGACCGCGTGACCCAGTGTCGCCCACCCTTGGGACCCTTTTCCGCCAACTCTTGTCCAAATTCACCTCAGTACAACTTTTTATTCTTTTCTGCCCTGTTTATCCAGCTGGGTGAAAAAAAAATACTCATGGCGCTCTAGTTCCATAAAAACCACGAGTGTGAAGCGTATGTGCAGCTACTACAGAGACAAGTTGGCAGTGAGAGGCTGACGTGGCCTCCGAAACGCCCCCAGTAGAGGCCCGGACCCCAGGGGAGGCCGCCGGATTTTCAGCCTTCCTCGACACCTTCAAGAAGCACCTACACCGGCGGGGCCAGGCGCAGCGGTTCATGCCTGTCATCCTAGCACCCTGGGAGGTCGAGGCCAGAGGATGGCTCAAGGTCAGGAGTTTGAGACCAGCCTGAGGAGGCGCGAGACCCGTCTCTACTAAAAATAGAAACAAATTAATTGGCCCACTAAAAACATATAGAAAAAATTAGCCGGGCATGGTGGCGCATGCCTGTAGTCCCAGCTACTCGGGAGGCTGAGGCAGGAGGATCACTTGAGCCCAGGAGTTGGAGGCTGCTGTGAGCTAGGCTGACGCCACGGCACTCACTCTAGCCTGACAGAGTGAAACTCTGTCTCAAAAAAAAAAAAAAAAAAGAAGCAGCACCAACAGAGAGAAAACCTTGAGGGTGACTTCAAGGCCAACCGGTTCTTTCACAGTGGAACTGGGCCCAGAGGGAAATGACACAATCCCGCGCCCGGCAGGCAGCAAACAGGGATGCGGACCGGCGGAGCCGAGATCGAGGCCCAGGCCCGCGCGGCCAGGCCCTCAGGACCGTCCCCTCCACCCGCGCTCCGGTGGACCGTCCCTGGGTGCGCGCGCTGTCCTCAGTCAGCCACACCCGCAGAGTGCCCCGCCGGGCCAGGCCGTCCCGCACCTCCTCCGTCCGGACATTCACTGGCCGACCGGTGGTTACTAACGCCCGCGCTCCCGCCTGTGCGGCTGGTGGCGGCCCTCCTCTCCCTAGGCCGAAAAAGGCAGGCTCCGCAGACCAGACCCGCCGGGGACACACCGCCAGGCCCCGCCGGGAGGGACCGCACCCAGAGCCCCGCTGCTCCGGTCCGGTGCCGCCCGCGCCCTCCTGTTTCTCAACCGCGCCCAAAGCCGCGCCAGCTCTTGCCGCCAAAACGGCACAAAAGGCCGCACCCCGGCACGCGGCGACTTCTGGGCCGCCTCCGGGCAGAACCTCGGCGGGAGCGCAGTAAAGCCACGTGGTCTGGCCCCACGCAGTCTCCTTTCCAACGCCGCCGCCGAAAAACCTCACACCACCCAGCTAGAACCCTTCCGCCTCGCATGCAGGAGACTGGCTTTTAACTGCTTGGACCCCAAACTGCCATCCTACAAGCTTGTTTCCGTGGAAATCTGTCCCGTGTCACTGTGACGCGGTGACCTTCCGGACCGCAACCGAGTCAGAAAAATCCGAGACTTCCCGGGACACGTTCCGTCGTCATCAGTCGGAACCCGACAAGGGCGGGAGAACGGAGGCGGCATGAAGTAAGAAGTTTTTGTTTTTCTTTTCTTTTTTTTTTTTTTTGAGACTCACTCCGTCGCCCGGGCTAGAGTGCCACGGTGCTGTCAGCCTCGCTCCCAGCAACCTCCAACTCCTGGGCTCAAGCCATCCTGCTGCCTCAGCCTCCCGAGTAGCTGGGACTACAGGCATGCGCCACCGTGCCCGGCTAATGTTTTCTACGTGTTTTTAGTTGAACCGCTAATTTCTATTTTTAGTAGAGACAGGGTCTCGCTCTTGCTCAGGCTGGTCTCGAACTCCTGAGCTCAAACGATCCTCCCGCCTCGGCCTCCCAGAGTGCAGGGAGGACAGGCGTGAGCCTGGCCTGGACGAAAGTGTTGAAGACCCCAGGAATCTCAGTGTCCATCACGTCAGGCACAACACTTCAGGGAAGCTCTGTGTTCGCTCCCACAAAGTAAGCCTCGACCCGGAGCTCGAGCGGGATGGCTGCAAACAGTGCATAAGTGACAGGCGACCACGGCGGCTGCGGCCGTTACGAATAGCGACTTGAGTTCTGGGCACTGTGACTCGTGAGTTCGCAGACGCAGTGCACAGTCATTCTCGCAGCCCTGTAGACAGACGAGAGGATCCGAGGCTTGGCGAGTTCGGAAACTCTGCGGGTCGCAGAGCTCAAAGCGGAGGGGGGGATCGGGGCTCGGAGCCGAAAGCCGCCGGGCCGGCGCCGCCCGCAGGCGCGCCGGAAGGCGGGTCCCTCAGGCCCCCCGGCCGGGCGCCAGGACGACCCGGCGCTCACAGCAGACGCACGCGGCGCGGCGTCCGGCGCGAAGGGAAACGGAAGTCGCGGAGACTCGGGCCTTTCCGGTCTCGGTGCGCAGCTCGGGGCCCGAGCAGGCCCCTGAGCCCCCGGGGCCCGTTCCGTGCGCGGCGGAGCGCACTGAGGGGCGAACGTCCGTACAAGCGCATGTTTCGGGGAGCAGATCCCCGCAAACCGGAGACCCGCAGAACGGGTCCCGCCGCCGCCTCTCCGGCAGCGGTAGCCGGCGGGGCGCGGAGGGGTCTCTCGGGCGCCCGGAAGCGGCTCCGGACCCTGGCTTCCTCCCCTCAGCAGGCGGCGGCGCGGGGCCGGCGGCCGCGGGGTGCCCGCCTCCGGGCGGCGGGTGGCCCCCAGCGGCGACGCCGCGGCCCTGCCCGGTCTGCCGCCCCTCGGCGCGGACCCTGCGGGCGGGAAGGCGCCCGCGTCGGCGCCCTCCGTCCCCTCCCCGGCGCGACGCGCGGCGGCCTCGCGAGCTACTCACTGAAGAAGACGCGGTAGTCCAGCGAGCAGGGCCGGCCGCGCTCCTCGGTGCGGTACAGGGCCATGGCGCGGCGCGGCCCGGGCCCGGCGCTCGCTCCCCTGTGCAGGCGGGTGGCGGCGGCGCCCGCGCGCCAGCCCCGGCCGGTGCGCAGCAGCGGCAGCAGCGCGCGCAGCGTCCTCGGCGGCCGCTCGCGCGCGGCCTCGCCCTGCCGCGCGCCCGCGCCCCCTGCCGCCCGGAGTCGCCGCCGGCCACGCGAGCCCGGTGGGATCCGCCTCTCCGCCGGGAAAACGGGGCGCCCGGGACGCGCCCGCGGCCGGCCCAGGGTCACAGGCGGGCAGCACGAGGCCCTCCGCCCCGGGAGCTCGCTGCCACCTATTTATCGGTGCATGCATTCATTCATCCCGCACATCTGTGCAATTATCGTGTCCCCTGTTTCACCCTGACCTGCCGAGCCCTGCGGCCTGGAGACTCGGTAGCGTCCCTGCTAGGCGTAGCACCGTGCTGGGCGCAAAATAATGTCCCTTTTGTTGGAAGTTGCTCCTGAAGTTTCCTCTCTGCCAAATCTTTCCCAGCGTAGGAGATTCCAATTAGAGAGCTATTCAGAAAAACTTGTTGGAAGAGTGGTCCACAGTTGTCCTTTGAACTCCCCTCTTCTCAATAAAAGGCTTCCTCCCCCTTTCTAGGGTCCCCGATGACCTCCGTGGTGTCAAATACGAAGGTCAATTCTCCCAATAAATAGGAGTGAGCAATCCAGAGGAAAGCAGTCAATAAGACTTTTAAAATTAGAAACTAAATCTTTTAAAGAAAAATATTTCAGTTACTGAGTACATAAAAGTGAATGCAAGAAGAGTAGCTATTTTACAGAAAGAGGCAAAGAAATGTACACTTATGGGCTTTGCAAAAACAAAGCCAAATCATTTTAATTAAAAGAGAAAACATTTTAAAAATAATCTTCTGATTTAAAATACTGCAATAAAAAGTGGATTATAAATGAGATTTTAATAAGCACAATGATTACTAAACTCATGAAAAATACAATTCTAACTTAAAATTCTGCCTCTTACTAGATATGACTTACATCTTTATGTAGATTTTAACTAATTTATAGTAATTAAGTCACAATTGCAAATTTGATGCTAGTCTAAACTATTTACATTTCTGTGCCGTAGCTACAAACTAAAACCTCTGGTTAATAATGATAGTAAGACAGACGCGATATTTAAAACTAACCTTTACTGACAAAAATCTGAAAGCAAACATCTTACCAAGATGGCTCTGTAGCCATTGTTTAGCGTTATATAGAGAATAGAACTTACATCTAGGCGGTAGTCAGAATTTTGAACAACATAAATGTATGGGGGTAACTGGTACGAGTGAATTCTGTCTTACTGCTTGGATGTGTTTCACTTGCATTATCAAGGTCACCTTGTAAGAGGGCTCTTCTAGCTCTGACATCACATCCTCATTCCACCTGGCTGGAAAGAAGGAAGTTTGTACCCCTTCCCTTAAGAACACTTCCCTTGCTTAAGTAGGGATTGGACTGAAAAAAAAAATTAAAAGAAAAGAACACTTCCCAGAAATTGGGAATTAATGTGATATATTATGACAACAGAATGAAGAGCAAAAACCATATCATTTCAATTGATGCTGAAAAGCATTTGGTTCTCTCTTTATGACTGTCCTTATTAAAGAGCAGATAAGAGATCTACCCTTTACTTTTTTTTTAGAAAAACATTTTTCTTCCTTACTTTAAAAGAAGTTTTAATGCAAGTGTCAATGAAACAAACAGTCTAAAACAGACTCAGCAAATGGAGACTTCATTGGTTGAGAAATGAGAAACTAGTTTTATTTCCCTTTGGGGAAAAAAAGGAATTTTTAGCATGTAGAAATTCTTTTCTTATTTTATCTATGTGAAAATAAACCCATGTCCTGAGGCCCATATAGTTCTTAAAAATAGAAAAGAGGACAAATGAGTTGATTTTAACCAAGCCTCAATGATGTGCACAATGCATTTGGTATTAAGCTTTCAGCCTTTCTGGATGTTTACTAAATTAGACATAATAAAATGTATCCATCATCTAAGTATCATATGTGATTTAAAGGCATATTGTTAAATGGCATGAAAAAAACAAAGCTTTGCTTGATTACTGCTTCTAGGCTAAAATAATCATGAGAAATTTCAGCTCCAAATGACACATTATAAATGCTCTGTAATATTATAAATATAGCAATCATGGTAATACTCTAATCCAATTCAAGGGTTGAGCTACTAAACTGTTAATAATATGTCCTGTACAAAATTTAATGAGACAACCCATTTTCTCTGCCCACTTTCTAGATTTCCCCTTTAGGCCTTGAGCAGTGGGAATTAATTTTGTTTTAAAATGGTTTAACTATAGAACTTCAATTTTTTCTATTTTATACATATTATAATTATATGGAATAATAAGTTTCAAATTGGATTCAAAGGACCCTGGGTTCCAAAGGCAATTCCTTGAAATAAATTTTATGTAATCCATTGCAAGAAAATGTGAACAGGATTAATTTATATAGGATCTCCTGCCCATAACAAAAAAGAACCTTAGGATTCAAAAACAGTGTGGAACGGTTTCATAATTTCAGTTTATGATGCTTGTGATGAGAAGGGTCAGAAACTCAGCAGCTGAGAAGTTTTTCTTGTCAGAAAATTATGTTTTTGGAAAGAGGACTCTTCCTTTCCCTCCATCTTTTAATCAACCCTTCCTTCATTTGACTGATAATTACTAAATATGTACTCTGTGTTGGGAGGTATGATTTTAACTAGATATAGAATGATGGAAAAAATGGGAAAATTATCTGTCCTTCTGGTACTTAGAATCTAATGAAGGACTCAGGCATTAAGCAAACAGTTGTATACTTCTGTTAAGATTAAAACTTGAAATGGTGCCATGAAGAAAAGTATGGGAATCCACGACAGAGAGTAATACAGAGATCCAACTTAGGCTCGGGCTCAGGGACGGCCTCTCTAAAGATATGGCATTCAAAGTGGCTCGTGGGTCCAGGGGCACGCTGCTCGCTTAGGATATGGTATTTCAGAGGACTGCTAAAGGAAAACTAGGGAATAGCCAAGGGAAAGGTGGTATAGGGATGAGAATGTGCAAAGGTCCTGAGGCAAAATTTTTCTGAGAAATGTTTTCTGACAAAATATTTTTGCCAAAATATAGCACATGACATATGTATTTGTCGCAGGTTGGACTCTCCAGGGAGCAGCAGAGCCCGGCCGGGTGTTGGTCGGGAGCGTCCTTGCAGTCCCTCCTTTGGAAGGCAGGAAAACGATTTCGGGTTTGGCAGAGGAAGGAGTCTAGTTGCAATGCAAGCCCGAATAGCAGCTTTGGCTGACCTTACAGGGAGTACTAGAGGTAAAATGGCAGGTCGGAGTTGTCTCCTGACGACTGGCTGGGCCCTCATAACCCTCCTTCCTCACATCAGAGGCGGCGACCCCGCAGCAGCGAGGCCGGGCGGCTCTGCCGAGGGCACTGCCCGCAGCTGAGACAAGTTCTCCCGTAAAGGAGCGTCAGGACGCCACATCGCACGCCCACCACAACATCCGATATTATAAAAAGCTTTTACAAATCGATAAAAATGAAAACAACCCAGTAGCCAACTGAATAGAAGATAAAAGTTGGGAAGTCACAGAAAAATTGTAAATCATTCAATAGAAGTAAATACATAAAAATATGTTCAACTATTGT